GTAAATGTAAAGAATTGTAAAATGATGTCCATTTAATGCATACCGAGCACTTTACTGACATTATAGCCACACTGCAACAAAAATCTTCAAAATACCTTTTGTGGCAGTTGTTTTTGCAGTCGCATGACCACTCAGGCTTTGTTCTTCTCCATTGCAGCAGAGTCTGCAGGCATCTACTTCAGGGCACCTCCAAGTCACTTCTTCCCCCACTCCCAAATTTAAAGTGACATACAGGTTAATTTTTTTCTTCCCCCACCCAATGTTGGTGTAAGGACTTACCTTAAATGAGGTCTCTTAATCTGATCTTCTTTAGTGTAGTTTTCAGCTGTCCCTCCAGCGCTGGTGCGGGTCTCCGATCCAGCGCCGACTCCTCTGTCCTCCTCTTCTCTGATGTCCCACGGTGTCTGTTTGGGTGCACCCTGCTCCATAGACTTACCTTGTGTCTCTCCTCATCTCCCGGCCGAACATCTGAACTGCGCATGCACCCGCCCCAAGATCCTTTGCAGCTGCCCGAGACTCTTCAGATGTTCTGACGGGAGCGCACAGTGAAGACACAGGTAAGTTGAACCTGTTTGAAAAGGTTTTTTGAAGTTTTTGCATATATCTACTGCTGGCTAGCAGTAGATATATGCAAAAACATGCTGAGGGTTTAATAACCCTTTAAGTGTACAAAGCCCTGTGGTGTCAGCACCCCCTATAGGCTAAAAACACCTGTAAACCAACATGCCCACAATGAGGGATGAGGGTGACAACTCTCCTGGAATTTCAGCAGAAAACTTGCAGAGTTGTCAGCCTTCTCCTGAAAATGACCTACGATACCAACAGCCAATCAGAAGCTGGAACCCTCGCCCATGTGCATACTTACCTCTCCACAGTGGTGGCAACTCACAGTGTTCATATTCTCACGCAAGTAATTTCCTTTGGCACCGCCTTCACCTGCACTGTAATCCCCATAGGCTTCAATAGAGCTGCACTGCTTACATCTCTTCTGTAGAAGAATTGCTCCATTTAGGACTATGGAGAGATAATGGGCAGGGGCAGGAGGCACCACAGAATTTTGCACTCAGGATATAAACACGGCAGAAGGATGCTGTCTTTGGGAGGG